TGGCCAAAAATCTTGTTATTTCCTTGACAACGCTATGCCCATCACGTCCAATCACATTCGCTATATTTTTCCTGTAATCTACGAGTGAAAATACATATCTGGACCAAATTTGAGCTCTTTAGGTCAAATAGTTTAGCCGCTAGGGGGGGGACACGATTTGGCTACGGACAACAGAGTCTCACCAATAGGGTTCCGCCGATACACCGTAGGTGTACGTAACCCTAAAAACGAGGTAAATAATTCTGTAACTCATTCTTTATCAGTTTTTAGGGTTCCCGAATATAAATCTAAAGTTTTTTTTTTAAATCCAAAATGGCGAATTCAATATGGCGGACAAAATTCAAATTTGATCAGATTCGATTAAAACTTGTTACTCGGGGGTTTTTAGGGTCGCTGATTACGAATCTGAAGTCACTTTTTAAAAATTCAAAATGGCGGATCCAATATGGCAGAAAAAATTTTCAAATTTGATCCGATTCCCTTAGAACGTGTTACTCGGGGGCTTTTGGGGTCGCAGGTTATGAAAATGAAGTTACTTTGTAGAAATTTAAAATGGCGGATCAAATTTTTTAATTTGATCAGATTTAATTAAAAAGTGTTACTCGGTGGTTTTTAGCGTATCTGATTATGAATTTGAAGTCTCAAACACAAAGTTACTTCATATTCATAATCTGCGACCCCAAAAGCCCCCGAGTAACACGTTTTAAAGGAATCGGATCAAATTTGAAAATTTTTTCCGCCATATTGGATCCGCCATTTTGAATTTTTAAAAAGTGACTTTAGATTCGTAATCAGCGACCCTAAAAACCCCCGAGTAACAGATTTTAATCGAATCTGATCAAATTTGAATTTTGTCCGCCATATTGAATTCGACATTTTGGATATTTAAAAAAAAACTTTAGATTTATATTCAGGAACCTTAAAAACTGATAAAGAATGAGTTACAGAATAATTTACCTCGTTTTTTGCTTTTAATTCATAAAAGTATTTTGAGTTTTTTGGACCTTTTGACTTTTGACAGTTCTATTGGCATCGGAAATTGAATTTTGCAAAAAACGCCCATCGGCATCTTAAAGTACATGAACGTAGAAATCTTTTAAGCCCTAGAACGTTTAAATCCATCAAAGCAATTTTTGTTTAGAGCTCTGTCCGTGTTGACGTGGAATGTCCCATATATATATATATTGGCCTCAGAATCAATCTACGAGTGCGAAAAGGACACTCACGCTTAGAGCCTAGCACTTAAATATAAGAACGAATATTTTTTTTTTAATTTAAAAATTATATCGTAGATTATTTTTCTTGGGACACGTTCTACTTGTCTTCAACGAAAATTAAATTAAAAAATCTTTATAATTCACTGGAGAATTCACTCACTATATGTGAGTGAATATAAAGTTAAATAAGTGAATTATTAGTGAATATATAATTAGTGATAATAAGTGAATAGTAAATAATAATAGAATTACCTCAAGTTACAGTTTTCTAAATTTTTTAAATCATTAAATAATTAATTGAGTTGTGTTTTGTTTTTGATGTTATTCCTTATTAATAAAATCAGATGTCTGTCTGTACATTGCTTAAAACTTCAAAATGTTAACATGATTAGTTATTTTGGACATCAGGGATTGCAAAAATATTTTTAAAAAATTTAATGTATGTACGTATGTATGTATGTACGTATGTATGTACGTATGTATGTACGTATGTATGTACGTATGTATGTACGTATGTATGTACGTATGTATGTACGTATGTATGTACGTATGTCTGTCACAAAAACTTTGTACCCTAATCACACAAAAACATGTGAATCGATTTAAGTCCAACTTGGTAGGTTATTAGGTATTGACCCAAGGAAGGTTTATAAATTTACAGATTTAAAAAATATTAATTAGAACGAGAGATATTCAATTTTTCAAAAAATTCAAAAAATCGAAAATTTCAAAATTTTTTATTTTTTTATGGATTGCTTTTAAAGTTTCTATACTTGAGTATAACATGTTATTTAGTCACAATTTAGAATAATTTTGCAAAAAATAAAGTAATATAACTAATATGTAAATATAAAAATGTTTTCAAAAAATCGAAAATTTCAAAATTTTACATTTTTTCATGGATTGCTTTTAAATTTTCTATATTTGAGTATTACATGTTATTTGGTCACATTTTAGCATAATTTTGCAAAAAATACTATCCTATAAGTAAATATAAAAATAGTTTCAATATCAAAAAATCGATACTAATTACTATGAAGTTTAATTCAGTAGTATTTTTGGAGTCTCTGATTATTATTTTGACGTAAAAATAGTGTAATTGAGAATTATTTATCAAATTAATCTAATATTTTCAAGAACTTCAGAAATATTGAAAATGCAAATTTTTTATGATTAAAATAATATTGCAGGATGTCAAAAAATTGTAAGTCACCTGTGATACAATACAAGCATATTATATGCCACTAGGCAAAACTTATATGTTAAAACGTTTTTTTTATTTTTACTCTAGATTTAACTTTTAGAGATGTTTTGAGCAATGTAAAGACAAAAGTTAATACGGTGTCTATTTTGTTTAACAAAATTTCCTGCTTTGTCCAAATTTTTCACGGTTTATCTTTTTTTTGTTAAATTTAAATTTACTTGATTTTATCCATAAATAAATCTACAAATGGCTATAAAAATTTACTTATTTTACGAAAATACTTGTACTTAAGTCCATATAAATATAGATTATATTACTAGCTGTCGTACCCGTCTACGACAGTTTTCTGTTTCTACTAATACATTTAACAGGGGATCTACCAAACGGGAAAAACTGGAAAAAGCTGGGAATTTTCCAATCAAATTAAGAAAAAGTTTCATTATATTAATTCGCTTTTAAAAAATTGCTTTTTACTTTAATTTTTATTGATGTATAATATTTATGAAAACAGACCCAGGTCAAAATTTAAGCCCTACTTCCAGTCTAAAATATAGGTCTTATGTTAGGTTTTAGCAGTCGTAACGTTTGCGATACAATTAGATCCAATTAGACTCTACTATAACTCCAAAAACTGGGTGGGAAATTTGATAAATTTTTAATATATTAATTAAAGTACTACAAATTGACAAATATTGTTCTCTGCATTTGAATTGGTTAAAATAACTAATTTGATAATAAAAAGTAAATCACTGATTCAAATAGTTATATTTTCCTACTGAAATAGCTAATGGTAACTAATTATTATTCTTTTCCGGTCAAATTAAATTCCTGAGCTATTTCCTTATTTTCCAAATTGGTAGACACACTGTTAAATGTATTGGTAGAAACTAAAACCTGTCGAAGACAGGTACGACAGCTAGTTATTAATAAAATTAAAAAATTTGTTATAATTTTTTTTATGTTTATTAATAAATTAAAAATTTTGTTATAATTTGGAAATCGTCTGTAATTGCATAAAAGGCAGAATTAGAAATTGTTTATATTGGATTAAAGGAAAAAATGGAGATTGGTTCTATTGGATAAAAAAAAAGCTGAAAATTGTTTAAATTAGATGAAAGGAAAAATTGGAAATTTATTATATTGCATAAAAACAAAGCTGGAAATTGGTAAAATTTAATAAAAGGCAAAATTAGAAATTGGTTATATTGGATAAAAGGCGAAATTAAAAATTGGTTATTTTTATTTTCAAGAGTAATTTTTATTTTCACAAAGTAACAAAAATTATAACGAATAACAATAATGAATTGAAAACTAAATTGATTTGAACACTGAAAATTTGTTACAATTATAATTATACAACGACTGACCCGTCTATATTCGAAGACTGTTAGACTTGTACTGACTTGTCTTTACCTGCTCCCTTCAGGACTTTCCGCCGCCCCTTCCCTTTTTGGGGTTTTCCAGAAACCTTATCTCACTATCCATTGTTCTGGGCCATCGCAAATACAAAATTACAAACACACTACAAGGTCATTTCGCGTCAGTAACATACTCTACCCCAGTATGGGTTGTGTCACACAATCATACTACGGCTGGCTGTATTACAGCAACTTTTACAGCAGGTCTTTTGAGCACTTGACCGTTACTCGTTCGAACATCAATCACACGGATTCGACCATCTTTCCCCGGGTATACTGTGGAAATTATTCCCTTGATCCATGTGTTTCTGGGTATTGATCCGTCCACGACTAGTACCACGTCCCCCACGGCTAAAGGTCTGACTTCCTGGTTCCAGCACTTCCTGATGAGTAATGTTGGCAAATATTCCTTGGTCCAACGCATCCAAAACATATCGGCCAATCTCTGCGCAATTCTCCATTGCTTTCTCAAGCATAAGTCTGTATCGGTGAATTTTCCTTCGATTATGCTGCCTGAGGACGACCCAATTAAAAAATGATTAGGAGTCAGACCTTCAGTATCGTCAGGAGCAATTGGTACGTGGGTTAATGGTCTGCTGTTCACCGTATGTTCGACCTCAGACATTAATGTCATTATAGTCTCTTCTTTAGGTGCTCTCTCTTTTAAGACTGCAGATAGAGCATTTTTAACGCTCCGTATCATTCTTTCCCAGGCTCCCCCCATGTGAGGGGCCGACGGGGGTATGAATTTCCATCGGATTCCGTGATTTGCTGCATGGTTTTCAATTTTCTCGACATCCATTTCCGACAAAGCCTTTTTTAGTTCCGTCTCGGCGCCTCTTAGATTGGTCCCGTTGTCACAATATATCTCGGTTGGTGTACCACGACGTGCAGACATACGTCTTATTGCCATGATCGCAGAATCCGCAGAAAGTGTGTGTGCTAATTCTACGTGGATGGCGCGAACAGTTAAGCAGGTGAAAAGTACACCCCACCTTTTTACATGTTTCCTCCCGATTGTGATTATCATCGGACCAAAATAATCGAGGCCGCATCGAGTAAATGGTCTCTCGTTCTTATCCATTCGCGCTTCTGGTAGGTTTCCCATCCTAGGTGCTTCGGGTTTAGCCCTTTTTATTCGACACTGCTGACATTGCGATATTACTTTTTTACAGTAGGCCTGATATTCAGGATCCAGTACCGTTGACGCAGTTCGTTGATAACGGCCTCCGTAAATCCATGATGCAGTTTCTCGTGCCAATGTAGGATTAACAACTTGGCGAATCTATGTTTTCCATCTATAATAACAGGATTTTTCATATTTTGGTTGATGTTGTTTGCTAATCCTATTCTGCTATCAATTTTTAGTATATCCTTATCAATAATCAGTGGCAGCTTGCATAATCGACTGTCTTTCTGGATCGGACGACCGGCTTTAATGGCTTCGAGTTCCTTTTCGAAGGAATCGTACTGAGTTTTCTGAATCCATTGATTTTCTGCTTGTTCTATATTTTCTGCAGTTGGCTTCATTTTCGTTCTTTCAATCCATATCTTCTTCCCCACATATACCCATGCGGTACATCGAATTAATCGTAACCATTTCGAAAACCGATTTATATCTGGTAATTCGAATTCTTTTTGTGTTCTCGTTACGTTTAGACAAGTAATCTTCCTTTCGACGCTTATCTCCTTTGTTGTAGTAAATGGTGGCCAATTGTCACTCGTTTTTTTTAGGAATTCAGCTCCTTGTAACCATTTCGACAATTGTACTTCTATTTTTCCACGATCTCTAGTGGCTACATCCGCCGGATTGTCTCTCGTGCTTACCCACCTCCACTCATGTGGGCTCGTTATTTCACTAATTTCACCGAGACGGTGGGCAACGAATGCTTGATATTTGTGAGGATCTGCATTTATCCAAGATAGTACATTCCTAGAGTCTGTCCAAAAATAACGTTCATCGATTTTCATCTCAAGTTCTCGAGTTACGAAGTCAGCCAATCTACTGCCTATCAGAGCACCTTGTAGTTCCATTCTCGGTATGGATATTGGTTTTAGGGGCGATACTCGGCTTTTACCTACTACGTATGATACTTCTACGTTCCCATCCGGATAGACCATTCTCCAATATACGACAGCCGAGTAAGCTTGTTCGCTAGCATCACTAAATGTATGTAGCTCTAATCTCTCGGGTTTCTCACGCCTCATTCTATAACACCTTGGTATTTTCGCCTTTTTGACTCCTTCTATATCGTTTATCCATAGTTTCCATTTTTCGAATTCTGGTATTTTTAATCTTTCGTCCCAATCGATCCCACTTCTCCATACGTTTTGGAGTAGAATTTTAGCTTTAACGTGGTATGGGCTCAACATTCCCAACGGATCGTAGACAGACATAATAGTCTGTAACATTTGACGCTTCGTTGGTATTTCCGATCCATCCAATATATTCCCTGCTATTCTTTTAAAGCTTAGATCAAAGGTTATCATATCTTCTCGTGGGTCCCATATCAGGCCAAGAGTTTTATGTGTGTTCTCATCAAGCATTACCAGGTTGATCGATCCTTTCGTTGGAGCCGTAGTTCCCATTGTAGCCAATACCTTGTCGCTGTTGCATGCCCAGTTTCTTATCTCGAATCCTCCATTTTTATGTATTGTGGTTACTTGATTTATCCTTTCAATGGCCTTTTCTTCATCTTCGACACAATCCAGATAATCATCCACATAATGGTTTTTTATAATGGCCTTTACCGCTTCCGGATATTTTCCTTCCAGCTCTTTTGCATTTTTATTTTTTATATACTGAGCCATGTGAGGCGATGACGCTGCTCCGAATATCATGGACGTCATCACATACGTGGATGGTTCTTCTTTTCTATTCCACCCTCGCCACAAAAATCGCTGAGCGTTCTGGTCTTCGTTGCGGATCTTCACCTGCAAAAACATTTCTTTAATGTCTCCTTTGAATGCAATTTTTTCAATTCGGAATCTCATTAATACGCTTAACAGCGGAGTCACTAAGTCCGGCCCAGTCATTAGTTGATCGTTTAATGAGATTCCATCCACTTTTGCTGCAGCGTCAAATACGAGTCGAAATTTTCCAGGCTTATTTGGATTCTGAACGCCGAAGTGAGGTAAATACCAAGTGCAATCACTTGGTTTATATGAATCGTCTATCTTTTTTGCGTACTTAGATCGAATTAAATTTTCTATTTCTCGAGTATATTGTTTTCCGTAGTCAGCATCTCGATCCATCTTACGTTCGACAGCCTCTAATCTTTTCTTCGCATATTCCTTACTGTTTGGCCTTTTATATAGAGTCTTTTTTCCATAAAAGACCAGCTTCCCATTTATTTCCAACTCTTCGTGTAGTATCATGTAAGATCCTTTCAACACGTTCAGAGTCTTTATCTTTTCGACATATCAATTTAATCCCAATAGATTCGAGATTAAAATTTAACTTCACAATTCGATGAAGATCATTTATAGTATCTTTTTCATCGTAGCCGTTTACTTGTTTTAGAGACAACTGTCCAACGTGTTCTTCATTTTCTTTAGGGTTTCTTCGTTTCAAGTTGCCGTGAATTGTCCAGCCGAGTTGTGTGAGTGATCCCACTGGTTCATATACCGATGTGATTCGTATCTCTTTTGGTGTTATTAAATGACTATTATCTTGACCAATTAATATTTTCGGTCTGACGAAGTGATAATAATTGATATCTATATGTCTCAGATGTTTATATGTTTCGACATCTTCTGCGTGCAGACTTTGAGGAGGTAACCTTAGATTTTTAATAGTCTGTGCATCTCTTATTTCGTACCTGTTCTTTTGTTTATCTAATGGGTTCGTAATATCAAAATTAATCATTTGACTCTTGCTGTCAACTATCTCGGTTCCCTTTACAGCTTGTAATCGTAATATGGTATTTGTTCCCTCTGCTCCTATTTGTTGTGCTAATTTCGAGTCTATTAATGTTACCGTCGCCCCATCATCTAACATAGCGTATGTGACGATACTTCCTTTTGGTCCGTGTACTATAACTTGCATTATTTTCAACAGTACTAGTCACATGGAGGACCTTGCTCCATCCTTTTCATGATCAGCAGTTGTAGTTGTACGTGTTTTCCCTTTTGGAAATCCGCCGTGAAGCAATGAGTGGTGACTTTTGGTGCATCCATCTTCTTTACACCCCGTCGCATGGCAATCTCGGTTATAGTGTGTATTTGATAAACAACGGTAGCACAATCTTTTTTCCTTTACCCATTCCATGCGATCCTGTTTCGATATTTTTGTAAATTCTCCACAACCAGTGATGTGATGACCAAATATTTCGCAATACGAACACTCTTTTTCAGATTCTGAAACCGTTGTTTTGGCTCGTTTAGATTTTTGCGATGTATCTGTATGCAATACTGTACGTTTTTTAAAGGTATTACCACGTGTGCTTGACTGATGGCCTAATCTGTTCCTAACGTTGCTTTTCTTAGCGACATCATCCAGATCCTTTTGTGTTTGGTAAAATAGCTCGCTCGTACCTGCCTTGCATGCCATCTCCGCTTCCCGGAATAGAAAATCTGATAGTGTTATTAATGACGATTGTACATCGTCATTTCTATCACACAAGAATCTGTGGTAAAGTTGAATCATACTGGGTGGCAATTTTTTTAATATTTCGTTTGTTAGATCAGGACTGTACAAGTATCCAACGTTATTCGCCGATTGCATGGCCGCTACGCAGTTCTTAACTTTGGTGGCGAATATCACGATCCCTTCTCCCCTTTCGTCCATAATAGGGGGTAATTTATTCAAGTCCTCAACTACTCTTTTTGACACAATGCCTGGGTTTCCATAGCGCATCTGCAGAATCTTTATTATTTCGCTTGTATTTTCGGCTGTCATCATTACAGCAGCTACGGCCTCCCGGGCTTGTCCCTTGAGAGATTCATGTAACCTCAAAAGGTTATCCTGCTCAGTTAGTCCTCCTGTTTTAGTCGATTGCTCGAATGCTCTTCGGAATGCAGGCCATTCCAATACGTTACCATCAAATTCAGGGAGTTTCTTGCTCATTGTCATGTGTCCTATGAGTCTCTTCGTTGCCGCTTCGGCATGCCTGACGCCGATATTTTCCTCTACATGAGATAAAGTTAGAGGTCTTTCGTTATTTCGAGTTGGACCCCATCGTTGGTGATTTTGAGTCGCCCACTCTCGAGTTCTGGCGCGTTTAATTCTCTCTTCATCGCTGCAGTCGCTATTTTCTGATACATAAGTAGCATAATCTCTATCGATTTCACTTAGTTCGTCTAAATAACGTTGATGAGCGATCATCAATGCGTCCACACTACGTCTACTTCGGTTATCCGATTTGCTGCCACGTGTTCCCGACTCTCCACCCCGTAGAGATTGGGAAACTGTATCCTTGTGCCCGGTTGCAACATTCCGCGAGGCCCCGCCTCGACCACGTGGTCGACCACGTCCACGACCTCGTGCCATCTAATTTTCACTTTTCACTGTTTCAAATATATATATACCCGGCGCCTCCACCAATTTTATTTTCAAGAGTAATTTTTATTTTCACAAAGTAACAAAAATTATAACGAATAACAATAATGAATTGAAAACTAAATTGATTTGAACACTGAAAATTTGTTACAATTATAATTATACAACGACTGACCCGTCTATATTCGAAGACTGTTAGACTTGTACTGACTTGTCTTTACCTGCTCCCTTCAGGACTTTCCGCCGCCCCTTCCCTTTTTGGGGTTTTCCAGAAACCTTATCTCACTATCCATTGTTCTGGGCCATCGCAAATACAAAATTACAAACACACTACAAGGTCATTTCGCGTCAGTAACAGGTTATATTAGATAAAAATAAAAATTGGAAATTGGTTCTATTGGATAAAAACAAAGCTGGAAATTGTTTAAATTGGATGAAAGAAAAAATTGGCAATTGGTTATATTGGATAAAAACAAAGATGGAAATTGGTTAAATTGGATAAAAGGCAAAATTGAAAATTGGTTATATTGGACAAAAAAGCTGGAAATTGGTTAAATTGGATAAAAGGCAAAATTAGAAATTGGTTATATTGGATAAAAGGCAAAATTAAAAATTGGTTATATTGGATAAAAACAAAGCTAAAAATTGTTTAAATTGGATGAAAGGAAAAATTGAAAATTTATTATATTGGATAAAAACAAAGCTGGAAATTGTTTAAATTGGATAAAAACAAAGCTGGAAATTGATTAAATTTAATAAAAGGCAAAATTAGAAATTGGTTAAATTGGATTAAATAAAAAAATGGAAATTGGTTCTGTTAGATAAAAACAAAGCTGAAAATTGTTTAAATTGGATGAAAGGAAAAATTGGAAATTTATTATATTGGATGAAAACAAAGCTTGAAATTGTTTAAATTGGATAAAAACAAAGCTGGAAATTGGTTAAATTTAATAAAAGGCAAAATTAGAAATTGGTTATATTGGATAAAAGGCAAAATTAAAAATTGGTTATATTGGATAAAAGGAAAAATTGGAAATTGGTTCTATTGGATAAAAACAAAGCTGGAAATTGTTTAAATTAGATGAAAGAAAAAATTGGAAATTGGTTATATTGAATAAAAGCCAAAATTGGTAATTAGTTATGTTGGATAAAGACAAAACTGGAAATTGGTTAAATTGGTTAAATAAGCTGGAAATTGGTTAAATTGGATAAAAGGAAAAATTGAAAATTGGTTATATTGGATAAAACCAAAGCTGGAAATTGGTTAAATTTAATAAAAGGCAAAATTAGAACTTGGTTAAATTGGATTAAATAAAAAAATGGAAATTGGTTCTATTGGATAAAAACAAAGCTGAAAATTGTTTAAATTGGATGATAGGAAAAATTGGAAATTTATTATATTGGATGAAAACAAAGCTGGAAATTGTTTAAATTGGATGAAAACAAAGCTGGAAATTGGTTAAATTTAATAAAAGGCAAAATTAGAAATTCGTTATATTGGATAAAAGGCAAAATTAAAAATTGGTTATATTGGATAAAAGAAAAATTGGAATTTGGTTATATTGGATAAAAAGAAAGCTGGAAATTGGTTTAATTGGATGAAAGGAAAAATTGAAAATTGGTTATATTGGATAAAAACAAAGCTGGAAATTGGTTCTATTGGATAAAAAAAAAGCTGAAAATTGTTTAAATTAGATGAAAGAAAAAATTGGAAATTGGTTATATTGAATAAAAGCCAAAATTGGTAATTAATTATGTTGGATAAAGACAAAACTGGAAATTGGTTAAATTGGTTAAATAAGCTGGAAATTGGTTAAATTGGATAAAAGGAAAAATTGAAAATTGGTTATATTGGATAAAAACAAAGCTGGAAATTGTTTAAATTGGATAAAAACAAAGCTGAAAATTGTTTAAATTGGATGAAAGGAAAAATTAGAAATTTATTATATTGGATGAAAACAAAGCTGGAAATTGTTTAAATTGGATAAAAACAAAGCTGGAAATTGGTTAAATTTAATAAAAGGAAAAATTAGAAATTGGTTATATTGGATAAAAGGCAAAATTAAAAATTGGTTATATTGGATAAAAGAAAAATTGGAAATTGGTTATATTGGATAAAAAGAAAGCTGGAAATTGGTTTAATTGGATGAAAGGAAAAATTGAAAATTGGTTATATTGGATAAAAACAAAGCTGGAAATTGGTTAAATTGGAAAAAGGAAAAATTGTAAATTATTTATATTGGATAAAAACAAAGCTGGAAATTGGTTAACCCTCTATCCGTCGCATGGTGAGAATTTTCCTCACCCAGTTTCTTTTTTTATTTATAACTTTTAAAATACAAAAAATTATAATTTCATATTCTCATTACCTTTCACAACACTCTTCTTCTTTACATTAAAACAATTTTTGTGTTTTTTTTTATTTTAATTTCTTTGTTATTGAATTTTGAAAGCAGCAAATGTCGAGGATTTTTGACGCGAAGTGAGGGAACTTCTCAGTATGCGACTGACTGCGTATACTCGATTTCATTTGTCATTAATTTTTTATTTAAATAATTAACAGAAAATAAAAGTTAATTTTACTGCCAATAGGTTGTTTAGAAATTCTAATGAACATTCAAAAAAAAATTTGGCATTTTAGAACAAGTTTGGACTAATTAGGGTGAGAATTTCTCTCACCTGCGACGGATCGCGTTACAAAAAAAGGTGCGACGGATGGAGGGTTAAATTGGAGAAAAGGAAAAATTGTAAATTG